ACAATGTACATGGCCTATCCTGTGTCTGTAACTTGTAAATAGAAACTGGAATTGTATTTACATATCAAAGACCACTAGGGATGAGATAATGGCTAAAAAGGATATAAAAAGGGAAATGCTGAACAAAGGGGGGTGGATACTGACCAGACTGGTTTCTGGCGTTCCCTTCCACTCGCGAGAAGAAATTTTATGATTTTATCCGAATTCTGTGTCTCTGTGTATTTCTTTCCAAGATTTCTGCAACATTTGGTGCGTTGGCCGCGAATCAGGAATGAAATAGCCTTTTGGGGCATCATCCCGAGCCCCACCAGAGGGAGCAGCTCTCCGTCTCCTCTAGAGGAAAGGCGCGCCCCTGGGACTAATTTCCTAGGCTCCCCAGTAGGACACAGAGATCTGCTCACTGGCAGAAGTTTACCTGAACCCAAGGAGGAGACCACAGAAGGAGGACTGCTGCTCTTGGTGTCTCATCTGTCTCTTTCCTTTGCTGGGTGAGAAACCCCAGGAAACTCCCTAGTCGTTAACTTTCGGTTTCGCTTTGTGAATTTTTATTTTGTAACTCTGGGCAAATACAGCACAGGGGCCTGATCACCCCTTGTGCTTTGCCATTTGGGAAGACAGCTCCTCCCATTTGTTTTGATCCACTTTGTGAACTTTGGACAAACATAGTGCAGGGGCCTGATCACCCCTTATGCTTTGCCATTTGGGGAGGTAGCTTCTTTCATTTGTTTTGGTTATGGTTAGGGGGGTCACCAGGAGGGAATGTGATAACTTCTGAATAAACGTGTGAGTGAAAGAGTTCTGGATAGGCGTGTGTAAAGGAGCTGCGGAACAAGACAGAGGGAGGAAGTGCTTGAGCTTAAAGACTCCTCCCTGAGTCAGAATTTGTGTGATGAATGTCATTATATTGTATCCTAAAATGTACCAATGATTAGAATGAATAATCGATAATGCAAAATAGGAAGAAAAGTTCCAAAGGGGTAGGGGTACTGGGAGGGGCAGGGGAAAGGAAAGAAGGGAAAGGAAAAATGATGAGAAATGGAAAAAATGGAAATAAAGACTTTGTAAATAGGGAAGGGTGGAGGGCGTGAAGGGAGGGCTAGGAATGGGGAAAAAAAAAAACCAAGATGCATCATGTAAAGGTACAAGTTCCCAATGAGAAATGCAATTGTGTTGTATACCTAAGATGTACCAATAAAAGAATTCAAGAAAAAAAAAAGGAATTTGTGTGTGGTCGCGTTTAACAAAGGCACAATGGTGAGCTTAGGCGACAGCCCACCTTAGCCTGAACGGACCTTAAAATGGCTGAGAAGCCCACAGCCAGGCAGGAGAGCTAATGATCCCCCACCTTTGTTTGTCTTGTGTCTCCATTCAAGGGTACCCATACACACACCAACACTCTGATCAGCCGATCGTGGGGACAGAAACATCTCGTCGTACTGTTTTGGAATGCATGCTTAGGAATTTTAAGAAAGGTTTTACTGGAAATTATGGTATTAAGATGAAACCTCAAAGCTTAGAGCCTTTTGTGAGTTAGAATGGCCCACGCTTTGCCTAGCTTGGCCAACTGAGAGATCCCTAGGTGAGGGTCTCATCTGGTCCGTCTGGCTAACAGTCACCACCCCTGGATGAGAATATCCAGATCAATTTCCCTACATTGATTTATGGCTCAAATTGTGCCACAGAATGCCTCCTTGGCTTCATATGCGTGCTCCAGGAGCAAAAAGCAACATCCTGGTCCTCTGTCAGAAAGGGGATGATGCTGAAAAGTAACCAGTCCTTTCAGATCTGGACTGAGAGAATTTAGACTTTCCCACTCTTTTTGAGTTGCTAAATTCGCAGGTTTGGAGGAGGTGGGGACAAAACATGAAAACTGCTTGGCTTCAGAGCACCATGCTGTGGTCAGACTCAGAGAGGATCGAATAGGGCTTACACTCAAATTTTAAAAATTAGCAAGAAAAAATAAGTAATGGATTAAAAACAGCTAAAAAGGCTCTGAAGGACATAAAGCTAGAGAAAGTAAGAAATTTTACAAGGGTTACAAATTTTAGCTAATTGATAAACGTATCTGTGGTTCAGTTTAAAAAGTTAGAAATTTTAGTTAATTGATAAATGTTTCAGTTTGAAAAGTTTAGAAATTTTAGTTAATTGATAAATATCTGTTTCAGTTTGAAAAGTTACAAATTTTAGTTAATTGATAAATGTATCTGTGTTTCAGTTTGAAAAGTTACAAATTTTAGTTAATTGATAAATGTATCTGTGTTTCAGTTTTAGTTGATGTTTAATTGGTGTGCTTAAAGTATTGTACATTGCTAATTCTTCAATTGTAATTATAAGGTTAACTTGCTCTTTTCTGTACTTTGTTAATTAAAAAAACCCTCAAGGTTACTACCATTCTATTGGCAGCCAACCAAATTTAAAGTGTAACAAGCTGAGAATGAAAAAAGGGACACTTTAAAATTTTAACAGCTAAAGACTAGTTTGTGATACAAGGTCTATAGTGAGATAAAAATATATACTTAAAAGCTATAAGTAAAAGAGATACAATTTTGATATAAAAAATTTTCGTGTGTTTGTCTTGTTAAAAAGATAAAAAGATATACAAGACCAGAAGGCCTAGGTATGTCAAAAAATGCACGAAAGTGATTTATCAAAAAAAAATGTATGTTTGTTGGTTTCAACTATGTTATAAAAGGTTTAAATGTTTACATTAGTTGTCATCAAAGGGTTAAATTCTAAATATGTTACTATAATATGTGTACACTGATCATCTTTAAAGGGTTTAAGAGCCAACAGGTTTCAATATGACCTGCTTTATACCGAGTTAAAAAAAAAACTGTTGGAAAAAGGCACAAACATGTCAGATCAAGGTGCGATATTTGAGATTTGACTTTAAAAAGGATAAAAAAAGAGGCTTGGTCCAGAGAAAAGTCATTTATTCTCTGCCAAGACCCCTCCAAAATGCTTCAATTATTTGATTCCATCTTTGACATCCATTGTCCTAATTGGGAGGACTGTGAAAACTTTGTAGAACTTTGTTAACTTTGTTAACCTCTGAAAAATACAGAGAGTTTTAGGAAAAATTAAAAAGTTAATGCCACTAGAATACCGGGTACTATGCAGAATCCAGATGCTTGATATGAACAGCAATTCCCAGTAAATTTGTGGCCCAATTGGGATCCCAATACCCAAGCAGGACAGGAAAACTTGAGAAAATATCAAACAGCCCTTTTAGCAGGAATGCGGGCTGCAAGTAAAAGGCCTACAAATATGATTAAAATGCTAGAAACACAGCAGGAGCCCAATGAGAGCCCTGAGAGATTTTATGAGTAGCTCCGTAAAGTTTACAGAATGTATACACCTTTTGATCCTGCTGTTCCTGAAAAACCATCAGCTAATTAATACAACTTTTGTAACCCAGTCAGCACCGGACATTAGAAGGAAAGTCCAAAGGCAGGAGACTTGGGAAGGCATAAATATAACACAATTGTTGCAATTAGCTGGGAAAGCATATGTGAATAGAGAGACAGTGAAAGAGAAAGAGAGCCAGGAAGGAAGATAGCAGTTGCTATGGGAGCCAAGGAAGAGAAGGAAAAAGAAAGACAAGGCTCAAGGAAAAGAAAAAGCAGGACTTGAAGAAAGGAAGGATACTGGCCCATTGTTGCCTGTGGTGGAGGACTTGCTTGCCTTCCCCACGGAACAATATAGCTCTGTCCTACTGCAGTATGTGGCTGACTTACTGTTATGCAGCTCAACCCAAGAACAGCGCTGGGAAGGCACCAAAAAGTTGTTGCTGCACTTACAGCAAAACTGGATATAAGGTATCATGGGAAAAAGCCCAGATTTGTGTACAGCATGTTAAATATTTAGAATTTCAAATAACACCGGGCATGCATTGCCTAGGAAATAAAAAAACAGGTTATTGGTGCCATCCCTAAACCCCAAACAAAGAAACAGCTGAGGTTTCTTGGGGCAACAGGCTACTGTAGAATTTGGATTCCAGGTTTTACAGAAATCTCTGAACTCCTTTATGAAGCCCTAAAGGGGCAAAGGGAGAATCATCTGCATTGGACTGTAGAACAGGAGGAAGCTTTTAAAAATATTTAAAATTGACTTAGGCAGCCACCCCAGCCCTAGGCATACCAGATGTAAAGCGGCCTTTTACTCTATATGTGACTGAAAAAAAAAAACCCATGTGGCCCTTGGAATGTTGACCCAAGAAGTAGGCCCATGGAATCAACCAGTGGCATATTTGTCTACAAATTTAGATTCAGTATCAAAAGGATGGCCTCACTGTTTTGGGCCTTAGCAACTTCAGCTCTGTTGATTCAAAAAACAGACAAGCTGACTTTAGGTCAGGAACTGACCGTGCAGGTTGCACACCCGGTCCTAGAACTGCTGAACACAAGGGAGCATCACTGGCTCTCAAATAATTGGGTTACTCAGTATCAAGCCCTTCTCTGTGAGAATCCCTGTTTGTGGTTTATTTCTATAAAAACTTTAAATCCTGCTACCTTCTTGCCCATGGAGACAGGGCCTCCCAATCATGACTGCTTGAGTGTCACTGATGAGCTCCTTTCCAGCCCCCCTGACTTGCAAATGACACCCTTGTCCAATGCTGACCTCGTTCTGTTCAGGGATGGGAGCAGCTCTGTGGAAGATCGGGTTCGTCATGCTGGATATACGTTAACCATGAAGGATAAGATGGTCCTAGCCAGGGACATCGGTGCAATGTGCTAAGCTCTGGGCACTCATACAGGCACTTCAATGGACAAAGGGTAAAAA